AAACAGGAAGTTAGGAGATCATTGGATTTCTGGCAGGTCAACTAATATTTTATTTTAATTGCAGCATTTGTAAAATGATAAAACATTGGGGAAATGCGCATGTATTGTACAGATGTGCTGCATTTTGTTTTGGTTTTTTTACTTTTGCTTAGGTCAGGAATTCCTGACTCTTGGAGTTCAGAGATTGTTGTGCCCTGACCATAAGATAACCAACAGTAAGACAACTGAAACAAAAGCAATGTCTTGGTTACTATTGGAATAATAAAATGAAGCCCTAGGCAAATGGTTAATGTTCTCTGTATGCCTTTCAAACACTTACTTTTGCATACCTATACTGTATATACAGAGCTCTGTATTTATATAGTATGCTGGCCAATGGTGCTCAATTTAAAAAGATCACAGAACAATACGGTGAAGCACTTAGCAGTTCATTTAGGATTATGGCTATTAAATTGTACTTTTGCCACTATGCATATGCTCCATTATGGAAAGAAGGCATTTACATCCAAAGGCACCAGCCAACATTTTTACCCTTAAAATCTTTTTAGCACATAATTAATACCTTTGTTTATAACATGTGACACATATTGCAAGTCATAAATTTTCATGTCTAGAAATGAGTGGTCCAAGGGAAACAAAAAAATTAAACAATTACAGAATATATTCTGTTTTAAACTGAATGTAATTTTAATATACATTGCCTTAGTTACAAAATGAAACACAAAGCATTAATTCATATTTAGCGGTCTCTTAGTGGTGACACCCTTGAGTGCCTTCACGCCAGAGCAAGGTAGCTATAACTATTTGTGTCAACTGTATTTAATAGAGCAACTACAAAATAACAAAACAAACAAGCCTTACCACCGCTAATGGCAGACTCATTTTTCAGCTTGTACTTTGCAAATTTGTCTGCTTATGAATGGTTTATTTACCAAGTAATTTTGGTATTTAAAAATTAGTCAGGTTCACAACTTATAACATTTCTACAAAATCTAAAAGGTGATAAACACGTGCCTCCAATATAGATAAATTAAATGTGCTCTCTTTTTGTGTTTCTTATTAAAGTTGGCACTGAAATTTATAACTGAAAAATGATCAGTTGCTAAAGTCTATGAACACTTTCATTCAGTGTAAAATCAAGCTTCCTTGTTCACAAGGGCATGCCCCATTAGACTATAGACAGAAAGATATAACCTTTCCATATCTGGACTGGAACTGTAGAAATAGATGGATAGTTCCAAAAGTTTTTTCTGATGTCTATGCAAATTTGCCCCCTTGTGCACCTTCCTGCAGAAAGACTCTGCAATCTTTACAGATGACATGCCAACGGCAGTGACCTTTATGCAATACATACTTATCTCTAAGGCTGAATGACTGCAGAAACCCAACAACAAATTAAAATGGCACTAAACTTAGGAATTCAATCTTAAAAATGCATTCAGGTAGCTTAAAGGAGAACTATGAGGTGAGTGATTTCCACTCACCTCATAGTTCTAGCTGACCTGTGACAATGAGACTGTCACAGGTCGGCTCAGTAGATCGGGAGGTGAGCGAACACATACCGGGTTCGCTCACCTCTTGATCCTGCCACTGCTCTCTGCCGTGACAGGGGGAGGGGCTGGATTCCCCTCTCCCCGCTCCGATCTGCCAGCGCTGACTGGCGGAACGGACGGGGGAGGGGGCTGGTACAGCTGGCTCTGCCTCTAGATAGGCAGAGCCAGCTGTCACTCACGCAGCTGGGCGGATCTCGACGTCCATGTCGGGATCCGCTCCGGCGTCTCAGTATACCGCGAGCTGTAGCTCGCGGTATACTGAGCTTAGGGTAATGGGAGGACGCTAGTTTGTGTCCTCCCGTTACCCTAAGGAGAACTATGGGGAAAAACACTGACCCCATAGTTCTCCTTTAACTGTTAACACAAATGTATCTTATTTTTGTATCACTCAGCTGTGTTAACTCAGTGTTATGAATATAAGGTTTACTTCAGAATAAAACTGCATGCACATTTTTTTGCAATTGCACTGCATTGGAACGGACAGCATTGCAGTACCGTGCGTTCCAGTGCAGGTGGTCACACTGCGGGTGGGAGGCGCATTTGGGGTGCCATTAAAATGAATGGCACTGCCACACACATCCCACTGCCACACACAGCAGAATTGTCAGGCCAAAACCCAAAATGATTTTTTTCCGACCTTTTATAAAAAAAAAAATTTAATAATTGTATTGTAAGCACATGGCGCTTAAATAGCTTCAGCCAGGGAATGACAGCTGCCAGTGGCAAGATTCCACAGACGGCAGCTGAATGTAAATACAGCAGGTAGAGGGTTGCTGCAATAGCCAGCCTGCTATTGGCCATTTCAAATTGCAATAGCCAATAGCAGGCTGGCTATTGCACCCACCCACTGCTTGCTGTGCCCTACTCCCAGCATGGAGGAGAGAACTGCGGGATCCAGATAACTAATCAATAATGAGACTAGTTGACCACTATTCTCCTTATCGATTTATTATTGATTAATTGATTAATAGGTTGCAGCCCTAATAGGCTATAACTTCAATACAAATTAGTAAACGCAATGTGGGATTGTAGCCTGTCACAGGAGTAAGCTTGGAGCGATGGCTACTTTACAATGCACACATGGACCATGGGGACCAAAAGTAGCCACCCTCCAGAAGGAAGGACAGTGTCAGCACCAATTTAGAGATGATTTGAGGATCTAGAGCCGAGTGATACACAAATAAGTTACATTTTTCTTAATAGTTAACTTAGAACTTAGATGCATTTTTAAGATTTAATTCCTGAGCTTAGTGTCACTTTAAGTATATTTATACTTTTACATAGCTGCTTGATTTTGGTCATCATTTAGATTCCAACCAAAACATAACTATTCTTAGGAGTGTTTTGGTGAATGTGAAGTAAAGAAGTCCAAACATGCAAAGACTGGACTGCATGAGACTCCTTCTAGGTTGTGGTTGGCCTTACTTAGGTGTAGCTCTCCTTGGAGATGGTCAAATCTGATAGTTAGGACATTTAACTATTCAGAATCTAAACTCTCACTCATCTTTAAAAGGCAAAGGTTATCCATATACTCAACTGTATGAACAAATTACCAGGACAGACTTTTACCGCACCTCAGCACCAGTGTTTTTTATGAACAAATGTTCGGTGTAATTTTATATATCACGGAATTTCATACTATGTAGAGGCTGAATAGTGATGAGTAGCTCTTAAAGTTTAAAAAAAATGCTGACTGGCAGGGTTTCTATGACAGAAGATACTGAGCCAAAAAACCTCTTGCTGCTATTCAGTATTTTTTTCTGTACACTGAGCCGCGTATGTGCAGTTCAATGCACATATTCGGCATGCCAAGATGAAATAACTCCTGTGCGCATGCAAGGGAGTTACATCACCAAGGCCCAATTTTTTTACTTCTTCTATATATTGTTTGAATATTTGAAATCCAGACAGATTCATTGAGCTATGCGCGATTAAATCACCCTCAAAAGTGTGCACTCTTAACAATGTATACATACAAGCATTATCACCAAGCGAAGACTAAACCTCTGCTGCCAGCACTAGCCAATTAAATTATCACTGACAAACAAAATAAGTGCACTTACTGAAAAGTCATCTTCAGGAAATAACACCAGATCTTTCAGGGGGTCATTAGAATATGTATTTTCCAGTTCTGTAATAGCAGATTCATAATCCAATGGCTCTAACAGTTTAGGCTTTTCATGCTGGAAAAAAAAATGCAACATTAAAAAATAACATAATAATTTAAATCAATTAATCAAAAACATATAAAAAACATGTAAAATCTCAAAGTGTCATGAGTGGCATACAGAGTCCTATAGGGCCCCATTCACACCAGGGTGACAGCGTTTCAGCACGTTTTACGCTTGCTCTTTTGTAAGCGCATTTTTATGCACGTTTTAGCACTGACATGCAATTAAAAGCGCGCAAAAATGCGCTGATCAGAGGCGGTCTGCTGGTGGCAGAGGCCGGGGCCCAGCATTACCTGTCCGGACGTGGAGGAGGCCGGTGCTTTGCTTCCCCAGTCCAGAGGTGGATGAGGCCTGGGCCCAGCATTGCCAGTCCAGAGGTGGAGAAGGACAGAGGCCCAGCAGTCACCTTCCAGAGGTGGAAAAGGCTGAGGCCCAGCACCGCTGGTCCCGCGGTAGAAGAGACCAGAGCCCAGCAGCAGCTAAGAGGAGCTGCATGTGTAGGGAAAGGGCCCCTGATCAGCCCACCCGAGACCCTGCAGAGCCCACCATAGAAAGTATCAGGTGGGCTGTGCAGGATCTATGGTGTTCTCTGCAGGGTCACTCTCAGGTGGGCTTTGCAGGGGTCTCAGCTGGTCCAGAGCCCAGTGCGTTACTAAGTCCAGAGGCCAGTGCCTTCCTAAGTCCAGTGCGTTTCTAAGTCCAGTGTGTTCTTAAGCCCTGAGTCCAGGGCGTTCCGAAGTTCAGAGTCAAGTGCGTTCCTAAGTCCTGAGTCCAGTGCGTTCTTAAGTCCAGAGCAGTCCTGAGTCCAGTGCATTCCTAAGTCCAGTGCGTTCCTAAGTCCAGATTCAAGTGTGGTTTCTAAGTCCAGAGTCAAGTGCGCTCCTGAGTCCAGTGCATTCCTAATTCCAGAACCCGTTGCGTTCCTAAGTCCTGAGTCCAGGGCGTTCCGAAGTCCCAAGCTCAGTGTGTTCCTAAGTCCAGAGTCCAATTCATATACTGTTCTGCATTGCTGTATAATGTATTGCTGGGATTTGTAGTCTCTATACAGCCAGTGCCATTCTGCATTAGAGTGTAAGCTCCTCTGTACAGAAACAAATGTGACTGAATATTTGAAATCCAGACAGATTCATTGAGCTATGCGCGATTAAATCACCCTCAAAAGTGTGCACTCTTAACAATGTATACATACAAGCATTATCACCAAGCGAAGACTAAACCTCTGCTGCCAGCACTAGCCAATTAAATTATCACTGACAAACAAAATAAGTGCACTTACTGAAAAGTCATCTTCAGGAAATAACACCAGATCTTTCAGGGGGTCATTAGAATATGTATTTTCCAGTTCTGTAATAGCAGATTCATAATCCAATGGCTCTAACAGTTTAGGCTTTTCATGCTGGAAAAAAAAATGCAACATTAAAAAATAACATAATAATTTAAATCAATTAATCAAAAACATATAAAAAACATGTAAAATCTCAAAGTGTCATGAGTGGCATACAGAGTCCTATAGGGCCCCATTCACACCAGGGTGACAGCGTTTCAGCACGTTTTACGCTTGCTCTTTTGTAAGCGCATTTTTATGCACGTTTTAGCACTGACATGCAATTAAAAGCGCGCAAAAATGCGCTGATCAGAGGCGGTCTGCTGGTGGCAGAGGCCGGGGCCCAGCATTACCTGTCCGGACGTGGAGGAGGCCGGTGCTTTGCTTCCCCAGTCCAGAGGTGGATGAGGCCTGGGCCCAGCATTGCCAGTCCAGAGGTGGAGAAGGACAGAGGCCCAGCAGTCACCTTCCAGAGGTGGAAAAGGCTGAGGCCCAGCACCGCTGGTCCCGCGGTAGAAGAGACCAGAGCCCAGCAGCAGCTAAGAGGAGCTGCATGTGTAGGGAAAGGGCCCCTGATCAGCCCACCCGAGACCCTGCAGAGCCCACCATAGAAAGTATCAGGTGGGCTGTGCAGGATCTATGGTGTTCTCTGCAGGGTCACTCTCAGGTGGGCTTTGCAGGGGTCTCAGCTGGTCCAGAGCCCAGTGCGTTACTAAGTCCAGAGGCCAGTGCCTTCCTAAGTCCAGTGCGTTTCTAAGTCCAGTGTGTTCTTAAGCCCTGAGTCCAGGGCGTTCCGAAGTTCAGAGTCAAGTGCGTTCCTAAGTCCTGAGTCCAGTGCGTTCTTAAGTCCAGAGCAGTCCTGAGTCCAGTGCATTCCTAAGTCCAGTGCGTTCCTAAGTCCAGATTCAAGTGTGGTTTCTAAGTCCAGAGTCAAGTGCGCTCCTGAGTCCAGTGCATTCCTAATTCCAGAACCCGTTGCGTTCCTAAGTCCTGAGTCCAGGGCGTTCCGAAGTCCCAAGCTCAGTGTGTTCCTAAGTCCAGAGTCCAATTCATATACTGTTCTGCATTGCTGTATAATGTATTGCTGGGATTTGTAGTCTCTATACAGCCAGTGCCATTCTGCATTAGAGTGTAAGCTCCTCTGTACAGAAACAAATGTGACTGGCTCAGTGTTCTCTGTACAGCACTGCAGTATATGTCAGAGCTATATAAATGTATAATAGTGTGAGACTGTGGGGGGACATTAGAGTGTAAGCTACACTGGTGCAGAGGCTGCCGGGGGTGGTTAGAGGGCCAGTGAGATCCGCACCCCCCCTTGGGAGAGGGAAGGGGGGGCCAAGATAAATTCTTGCACCGGGCCTTCTGTTCCTTAGGTCTGCCACTGGTGCAGCTTACATGCTGTGTACACAGAGGCTGATAATAGTAGATATGACAAGTCTACACAAGCTTTACATGTGTGTCATTATGCAGTTAATATAAACTACTGAAAAGTAACAAATTGCCTAAAATGAAAATGGAATTCCAGTAAATTCCTTTTTTTTTATATAGTGGGAAAGGTTAGAATCTCTGTCAAAGTTTTATTGCTGTTTGTATCTCCGTTGGGGTAGTTTCCCCTGACTTTCTGCAGCAGGGGCAGTGCTCAGTAGAACAGGAAGTGATGGGAGATCACCTGTAAGAGGACAAAGACAGCAATAAAAAATTTTTTATGGGAGAAAAGATCTTGGCACTGTATGCTGTGAATGAAAAAAAAAAGCTTTATGCTCCAAGGTAACTGGAAAATGCAGTTCTATATATAACGTACCATACCTATAATATAAAAATCTTTACTTTGTTTCACACAAGAAATATTTTACAACAAAACATATGCTTGCCAGTTCCATAATATTAAAAAAATTAAAAAGTAGATTATAATAATATATTTTGTTTTTAATATTATTCTGCTTACAGTTAGGCACATGTTTTGATGTAAAATATGTCTGTGCAAAATCATTTGTTCATTTTAATATCATAGGTATTCTGTCCCATATAGTCCTTTTTAATTTTGCCAGTTCCAGCAATAAAACCTGTTTTACTCTAGTGTAGTAACAGCTCAAGGTTTGTTTGTTTTTACAGATACTTCACCATAACAAAAATTAGGCTGCAACAATGATTATACTGTCTAATATACAACACTAATAAAGTCTTAGTTACATTTTAGCAGCTATATTTGCAATCCATCCATATGTTCCAATTAAATCATATTATTTTGAAAGTATGAATGCTCTGGACGGCTGCCATTTTTTTGTGCATTTTATTAAGATTTAGAAGACAAAGCTTTAGCTACACTCAAATTTATTTGTACTGTTATACAACACAGAAACAGAAATCAAACTACAAAACTTCTCACCCTCATCACTTTATTCTGTCTGTCTCAAAACATACAGTGCTCAAATTGCTGGATACACACTTGTCAAGTCTTCTTTAGACTCTGCACCTTTACACATCTCTATAATCTAGCCTTCACTATCTGACACTTTATAATTCTTACCAGCTCGGCTACAAGTCCTTCTTTACACAGAGATCTCAGCAATATAAACCACAGTCTTGTTTATCACACTTTCAATCTCTCTAATGTCACTTCTTCTGATCTCTCTGGTTCCCAGTACAATAGCACATTAACACCTGTGCTGCTTAGCCCTTGCGAAGTTACAGTTCCCAGGCACTACCATGTATGAGTGCCCAAATACAAGTAGTCACAATCTGGTTTAAACCGCATTGTTTTATACAAATATGAGCTCTATTACTTGTTCTGAACATTGCCAATCAAACTTTTGTCCCACAGTCAAATCGTCCTAAATTGCTAACCCTAATAGACTATTATCTACATTCAATTCCCTCTTTAATTGAACCCCTCATACCACAACAACTGATTTAACTACCCAAAATATTAATACAAAATCTTAATTAATAATCATAATTTATAATAATACAAGACCAGACATCTTAATACCCAAATTACGGCTCCTCAGCCCACACCATCTACCTACTGCTCCGATACTACCAGCACTCAGCCCACCCGTTTTAATTTTAACTCTATCCTTAGCTTTCAGTGACTGTAGTTGTAAGTCACCACTCTTCTGTTTTCACCTCTTCCTACAAACTTTGCTTGACCCAGTAAAGTTTTACCTATTTGATGCCTGGAGCTCTGCTGTGCCACCTGAGCTAACAGGACAGTTCAACCTGTCCCTCTCCACAAGTGTCTTACCCTCAACTTTCAACTATGCAATCATACTCCTAGCTATCTCCCTATTTTTCCTCTTCCATTAAGGTCCAAGCTGCTTGAACACATACAACTGACTAACCCTCTTCCTCACGTCCAACTCACCTCTTGACTTCCTTCAGTGTGGCTTCTGCTGTTATGTAACAGCAATCCTACTCACAAAAGTGACAAATGTCCCGTCACAAAAAGGAATGGTGATTTTTTTCCTAATTTTTGGCCCCAGAATCTCGTTTATGTTTGACTATACTAATCACCCTCTGCTATTGCAAACACTAAATTCATGTGCCATACATTTTTGCACATTTGTGATTCTTCAGTGATCCCTTCATCTTTCACACCCATCTTTGTCTGTGAAATCAAGGTTCAGTGCTGCTCCAAATAATTGTCTCTGTTTACATAACTTCTTTTGGCAAACCTGTAGTTCACCAAACTTTTAATGCCCTCACCACTCATAACCTCTTCCTATGCACAGCTACAATTTTCTTTAGAGCAGTCCCCATTATCCTGATTTCTGTTCCCTGATAGACTAGCCTCCAAATGTAAATGCTTTAAAGTGTCCCTTAAACCCAGCTGATTAAAAACTGAACATCTATCTTTCTCTTCACTAAAACAGCTCATCAGCAAATAGACAACTACAGTAATCTGCAACCACTATCAGCTTCTTTCTTAGTATCTCCAATACTACCCTATTTCTTAGATTGTAACCTTGCACTGCCAGGGTCCTCTTTTCTCATGTATTTGTAGTTGCTTTGTCTGAAATCTGTAATTTACACCCTTATGATATTTAATACACACACATATGCCTAATACACAAAAAAGTTATAATAATGGTTTCGTTAAACAAAGGGGGCACCAGTAATAAGCTAAAAAAAATCTTTAACAACTCTTGCAAAATTGCATTTAATTTTAGGTGTGCAAATAATATGCGTTTCAATTACGAGATGGCTATACAAATACTTTGAATGAACAAATTGAATAAACCTAGACCAAGGCCACTAAAAAAATTTTGAGTATCATATCCTTCAGTCTATAATGAGGAACTAAAAAGGGAAGATAGGATATGCACCAATGGTATAAAACATTATGTTTGATAAGTATGCAATTACACATGGGCACTATTAAATCTGTATTTGTACAGGCAGGCATCATATTGCTGCATTCATTGAGCAACTGTAAAGCTTGGTTCCCAGGAGCCTTGCATTCAATTAAATATACTATTACTGCCAAATCTAGTACTGGGATCATTTGCAATATATTGTTATCGTCTTTATTCATTTATTTTGTTTATTAATACCCTAAAGAATCCATCGTTCAACATCAAAATTACAATACTGACAAATGAAAGCATGTGAACATTATGCTGGAGCTGCTAAGAATATGTCAGAGTTAATGAAAGTCATGACGTTATTTCTTTGCTCTTTAAAATAAGCACCTACATATTTAAAAATTCTTACACCACTAAGGAAACTTACAAATCTTGTACAGACTATTGATTTTCATAAACTATTACTGAAGGCAGAAGGAGACAACAAGGGAATGGTACTATTTTCAATTTGCTTACTCAATAGTAAGTCCGATGTGCGTTGGGAACTATTGATCCCAGCTAAGCCCACTTGGTTTTAAATAGGTTGCATCCTGTAAATCTTCTGAATGTTTTACATATTTATCAATAAATGCTATTAAAACCCCTTTTACAAAAGACAGCTCATAAAAAGTATATAACTTGCATATTGTGACCCCTTAAACATATTAAATTTAGTCTGGCTTCAGTCAGAAATGCTACTAAAAATAAACATTTAAAAGACAGATATAT